TATATATATATATATATATATATATATATATATATATATACGTTTGCGGGTCGATTAGAAAGCAACTCCGTAGCTCTATTTTAAAACCATAACAATTTATTTATACATCGTAATATTTCTCCCAGATTTTTGGGCTTGCTCTAAATCTACGCTATTATTCTCTCCAGATCGATTATTTTGTTCGAAATTTGGAAGCTTTACAGCTTCCTGCTAGGGGCACATTACGAAGTTGGGGGATCCGTTGTTCAAATGAAATGTGATAAAGAACAGAGGATGTAAAAGAATTGCACTTACGTCTACTCCCAATTTATATGGAAAACTCGTGGCTAAGGAATCTGTAACTGGTACTCAAAGAAGCGGCCGCCCCTGCAATTCCAAATGACCAGGAGATAGTGGAAGTTGTTCAAGAAGTGCTTATTCATCGCCCACAAAGTCACTTCGACAAACGGCAAGGAAAAGTGGTGTCTCCTTTTCACTATGTATGAATTTTATTCATGAAGGAGGTTAAATAGCGTACTTGGAAATCGCACTACTATCATGCAAATACAAGAAAATCAAACTAGAAGTTTGTAACGTCTCAATTTTGTCAGGCTTGTCACTGTATTCGCGCGATTTTTGTCTGAATCGTAGGTGACCATGACAGTTTTGACAAGAATGGTTAACTCAGAGTATCCACAATTCCTTTACTTGTCTGGTCCATTGCCCCAAAGTGAAGTCCAACGGGTTCTTCTCTAGACGACTATGCAATTAAACATTGAGGGAAATCCTGTAGAAGGAATGATCTATCTCTATGAACTTCATCTTTTAATGTATTTTTTTCATATAATTGTTCAAAAAATATCGGTTTCTTTCGTTTATTAAAACAAACTCATATTTTGATGCATTGTTTTACCAAGAGTTTTGTAACCTTCTGTTCATACTAAATATCACTTCGATTTTGTTGAATAAAGAAATATAAGGGGCGGATAGCACAGTGGTAGTAATGCGCGTCATCACGACCATGGTGCTAGCTCGATTCCCCGCCGGGTCAACTAAGCCCTTCATCCCTCCAGGCTCAGGAAATTGGTACCGGACTTGCCTAGGAAAAAATAACTCTCTGCAATCCATTTGGGAACCCTCTAGCCCGGATACCTCAGTATTCCAGGGAGAATTGCTCGACCAGCATTCTCTGACATTCAAGACGAAATGAAAATCCTCAAGCAGAAAATGAGTCCACACATAAAGTTGGAAGGTCTTCGTAGGAAAGGATTCGAGGAAACGAACTGAATGTCGGAAGTGCTGCGATCCGCGCGGTAGACGTGAAGACAGGTCAAATAAAATAAAATAAAAAAGAAAATACAAGACCAAACCAAAGACGGGAACAAAGCAGAAAAACTTCCCCACGAATTCCAATTCTGACGGAAACGTATGAAAAACTGAATCATTTAAACACAAAGGAAATTTAGAAAACAAATTTAAAAAAGGTTATCGCATGAACTGAACGAAAAATAGAAGGATCATTTATTACCAAATCATAAATTCGTGATCCACAATCGCATTCTAGCACGCGATTAAAAATGTTCGCTTCAACAACGTTGCCCCTCAAAACCGTTACTATGTTGGTGAAGTCAATACATTAGAAAACCTAGACATATAAATGACCTATCTTCACATGCCGTATGAGTCCCAAAACTTAATCCATTCTTTCCCCAGTTAACCGACTGTTTATGTCTATTCACACGCGGGCTCTGCTGCGAGTTGAGGATTTGTCATGCCCTGTCATCGCTAACACGTGGAAAGCTGTTTACCAGTGATCATCACTCGAATTTTAAGATTGCCAACGTAGACCGTTCCCAAAACTTCGCCGGAGGCAGTCGCCAGCCATTTTGCATTATGTCAGCTGCGTGACCACTCGGATTTTTCCAGGATAGCACTGAGCCCTGCGATTCTCTGACTAACTCGCCCTAACACTTTGTAGTGTTATTACAAGCTAAAGTTATTAAAGCCTTACATATGTCTTCTAGTTTGTCAACGTTCTATACCATTACTGTTGTATCCTATATCACATTTGTGCATCATATTACACCAAGAACCCATGGCAGAGCTGCTCCCTTGTCTCAAGCGTCATCTTTTGCTCATCATTTTGATCCCGCTTATTCAGCTCTGCTGTGCTCTTATCGCTATTTCACGAACGGTTAAATTACCCAAGTCTGAAATTACGAACCGTGCCACCTATCAACTACCACACGAACTAGCCAACACAGATATATAGATATATACATGTATATATCCACACATTTGGATACATATGTCGGATTAATTCGGATAAATTGAGGAAAACAAATCGGAGTCAAGAAAGTTAACCCTGCAATTAGTCCGTGTCACAGCGTAGGTTTGCATTAAATCACATATAAAAAATAGAAACCGTTTAACTTTGTAATAAACTACCTATGGTCTTTCAGAAGCAGATAAATTAGTCAACTTAAGAACACGCAGAGGCACAACAGTAATCCCTTCCTTTTGGGCGAGAGAGAAGAACAGTGAATTGTTTCGATACAGACGTAAATTTCATCAATGAAGCTCCGGAAGCAAGCAAGTTTGCGCAATAATTCCTGAGCGACGTCACGAAAATAATAGCTTTGTGAAGATAATGTAGCATTTATGAGCTCTAATAACAGGTTTTCTAAATCAATGAATATGGATATAGCTGCTCTAAGTAAGCACAAACAACCATAAGATATCATTCAACCCACGAAAATTTACAGATGGTGCAATGGATCTTGAGACTTTGAATTGTGAATCCTTTGCGTCTACAGAATAGCAAATTTTGGTTGAGTAGAAAAATCTTGCCTGATAATCATGATAGGCGACTGGTCCAACGATCATAGATTCTTGACATAGAGGCAGGAGACCACATTTGGTGGCAGAGATAGCAGCCACTGCTGGTGTATGAAGGTGGATAACACAGAGCAAATCGCTACGAGCACCATGGATGGCAGAATGTAAAGTGTACCCAGCCTGAAAGTACCTGGGATATATCAGAACAAAAGCCTTGGAAAGCACGTAGCTTCAATCTGATGTAATCTGAGTATCGTCCTCCTCACAAACTTAACGAAAAACACTGCTATATCATTATTGAAAAAAGCATTCCGATAAAGATGAAACCATAAATCAAAGCCCTGCTAGCAAGCACTGAGTCGAAAGATAGGCAACACCGTTTTTCGACGTCAAAAACAGAAAAACAAGCAAATATGCTTCAAAACACTGTAGCAAATAAAAGGATAAAAAGGATAAAGGTCTCGGCGTTGATCAATTCCTAAGGGATAGACTATGCATTCGAATTCATAAAGCATCGTAGGAAGTGATTGAATGTATATCTGGTCTTCACAACGAATCCGGTGGTCTACCGATGTATCGAACCAGTGCTGCTATCCCCCCAGACAAGTCTGGTACTAATTTACCGACCTTGGAGGGATGGAAGGCTTGCTGACCCCGAGGCACGGAGACCGGTCCCAGGTGTATAGTAGGACGCTTCCTACCACTGCGCCACACGCGTCCACTGCAGCAAATAGCACGAAAGAAAAACGAAAAATAGCAAAATATGTGAATTTTCTGGAGTGATTACAACCCACCCAACTCTTTACCACACCATCGTACTTGGGAGGCATTTTCGTGTTGAACTGTAATGTACAACAGGAGGTACCTCACAAGGGTCTTTAGTTGAAGATTCTGCTGAGGAATTCGATATAGACCCATTAAACAGCAAAGACCAGCGAGCTGCTCGTAATCGCATTCTCCGCAAAAAAGGTACAAAGCGCATCGTACAAAGGATATACCTGGGATAAGTGTCCCTCGTGCAAACGAGACCCTTTGAGCAGCTATGCTTCGTGAAAGGCACGAAAGGAATATCATGGTTCTTGATCGAGTTTATGATTAAAAAGACCACGGATTATCAAAGTAGTACAACTGCCGCATGATTTTAGTGAAAACTAAAATCACAGACGATAAATAACAAGTGGAAAATTAATTTTTAAAAAAAACCACAACAACTAGCAAACGGAGGAAAACAAGTGAAATAAAACCAATGGTGACATAAGAAAGGGATAAAATCACATATGAACAAAAATCTTCTTGAAATTCTTAATCAACCTGATTTATGCCAAGAATAGTGCTTCCTGGGTGGAGAATGTTCCCGTCCAGATCTACTTTGACTAACGTGCTGGCAGTCTGTTCATGATATAAAAGACCAAACGGATTGATCAGTATTTCCATCAGATCACCAGGAAGTCGAACCTAGAATGGTCTTTAACGGATAATCTTTGGAATGAACTGTATATCGACACCTTCTTTGCTCTTAGCCATCTTTGTTCTCGTTGTGCTGGTCTCTCCTGTTTCTCTACAACCAACATCAATCTATTACTTACTTACCTACTTATTTGGATGTTTGGATGGCCCGTCTTCACTGATTGTGCGGACACAGCATAATCTCCGATCCAATTTTCGGAGTTTCACTGGTTTACCCATTGTATTTTCCTAGAGTCCCAGTTCAACTTGGCCAAAGTCTGCCCCAGGTCGTCACCACCAGAGGCAGTCGCCGCCCGTTTGGATCAGAGGGAGATTTACCACCATGCAACTAGTTTGATAACAGGACGGTGGTCGATCTTAATATTGGTTCACTCTAAGGTGGGCTTCCTGATGGAAACGCCTGACTCCTCAGCTTGGCAGATTCCGTTTGGAGGATGAACCCGCCAACTGTACACTGCACCCCTTACAATCGAAAAAACATTAGCGGTAATTTTGTTCTATTGGGATCTATGGCATTTACCACATTATAACATTCTTCATGTACTTAATACGACACAGATATATCTTGGAAACGGATTCTTACGGTCATATGATTGAAAACTCCTTGACTCCAATTGAAGAGATCGACAAGGCGGTAAAGAGCAGCCAACTGACATCGAAGCCTAGCCTCCTCTGGAGGGAATGCTCCTTCCTCGAAATCGACTATCGGTTTAGAATGACGTTTCTCTGACAGGAATGAAAAGTGATATTATTGTCGCTAATATTTTCCACTGGTGATTAAAATAATGAAATCCTTGCAATAGCTTAATTGCCACCATCGAGGAATAAAATCTTACCGAAACTCGATACAGATGTGCCATATTGGACACCACGAGGAAACATCTGCTACCGGTTGAACTACTTCCTATATTAAATGTATTTCCTTGAAAATAAACAAAGAGTCATGAATACTTTCACAAACAGCTGAAGCCTAGAGCAACTATTTTTGTACATTCTCAAGAACCAATACCTACAACGCGAATGTAAGAATCTAGAGTGGTAGTATCAGGCATCCGGTTTCCTCATATTTTCCTAGAATTTAACTCGAAACTTCTCTAAGAGTCTGTAAAAACCTTAGCCACCTCAAGGGAAAACGGGTGGGGTAAACGCTAAACGTTCTCTCCTTGTCAAGAAATCTATCGGCTTGCTAGGATATCAAACTTTTATCTATGCTCAGTTACACAACATAACATCGCTTTCGACACTAAAAATGGATGAATAACTCCGAATAACAACAAAAACCCAGCAGTGCCAACACAGTAAAATGCTGCACAAAACTTCATAACGATATTTGTCACAAACATCAACAAAAATGTGCCTTAAAGCGGATGAAGGTTACATTGGAAATCATCTACTAAGCTGAAATAGAGATTGATTGCAAAGTGGTCAAAGTAACCCGACTTTGAGATCTTCACGGATCCTCAACGAGTCTTTTGAAACAAACAAACAAAATCGGAAGTGGGACTGTTCACCTACCAGAAAAAAAGCCTTTCCACTCAAACGTACCGTAACTGAAAAATCCTTGTACTGTAAACTCCTTTGAGAGTCTAGAAAGGTCAGTCCTTGGAGAGTAGTTAAAAGAAAAAATTTCCCAACGTAAAATCCCTACGACATATTAACAATTTGCTTCAAGGAAATGACAAAGGCTTTGTAATGTCAGAACCCATCTAGTATTCCCTAGAAGTACTGAACTCTCATCAACGTCATAAGAGATATTTAATTCATAGCATAAATTGAAAACAAAGACTTTTCTTAACCGCGAACAACGCTATACCCGACTACGATCATGTACACTTATTACAACACACAACCTAGAAAGCCGGTTCGGAAACCAGTATTCGCGGAAACAAATGTCCCAAATCGGCAATGTTTCTCTGCACTATCAATCGATAAATCTCCGCATTTCCGTCCATGGTAATCTTAAAGAAGATGATCCATTCTTTTCCTTTTATTCCTTTAGATTTACAGAGACTCAGATGCATAGAAACTCACATGTAGTCGGGCTTCCTCTCCCTTAAGTACTGCATTGTAAACCGCTTGGATACTGTTATATGAAGCACCTCGACGCTAAAATTATGCACGCTAGACATACCTACCCAAAAAAAGTGGGAGCACATCTTATTGTTATTGCTATTACTGATATTATTACTATTATTACTATTGCATTACTAAAACGACCCGCCACCACATCTACTGTGCAGATCCAAGCACTTCCTGCACCCGATTCGTTTTTCTCACATTCATCGTCCACAAAGATCTTCAAATATTTTGTTCGTTCCATTGGTGCTTAAGAAATTCGTCTTCTTTATGAACATTATAGAGCGTGGGTCTAGTGGATTCTTCTTGAAATCATGGAAATAGTCGAACTAAGGCGTTACTACCTAGATTGAAGAAGAGCGCCAGAGAGGGATTGTAACCAGTACTCTGCCTCCTAATGGACTGCATTGCTAATAGCTTTGCAACCCACCCAATGCTTTAAAATACTCTGAAGAAATACAGATGTACACTGAATTAGGAGATAGTGAACTATGAGAAGCAAAAAATACACTTGAACTAGCCTGAAAGCACCTCCAAATTTCGAGCAAAAGTAGGAACCCTTCATAGCACGTTATGTGCGGGACAATGTCCATAGACAACTCGAAGCTATAAGAATGTAACAGCAAATTCTTATAAACGCTTTAAAAAACGCCACAAGTAAGGCATACCGTTCCGAGAGAATCTCTCCCTTTCGTACTAAAAATAACCATCTGTCAAAAAGAGAAAGCATCTCTTCAGTTGGTTGCCGAGTTTTATCAACAACGTTCTCGAACTTTATCTGTACGAACAAACAGATCAATACACATATTATGCATATAATGAAAGTCATGTACTCGACTTGTTTTGTGCGTTCCTAGAATTTTCTATTGCATCTCAAAAAAGGAAGTAGTCTTATATACAAGATCTCTGATATTCACAATTCTTAGGTTGAAACTTTATCAGATAATTAAATAAATAACGCACCATAATCGTCGCCAGTTCGGCCTTAATCACAGGAAGCAAGAACCATAGACATGGGGGATTTTCAGCAATTACTTCCATCAAACCCTGGCTAACCCAACTCGAGTCAAATCGTTTCGAGATTTCCAAATATCTGGATTTTTTTCAACCAAACACATCGATGAGTTGAACTAAAATCCTTCTTTGGAGAAAAAAAGTACCGAGAAATGAAATCCTTCTCGAGATCCCAATCATGAAACAGAAAGTCGCCACCAAGGGAATCATGACATAGCGCTTCACAAACAACTTCGGCCTATAACAGCCAATTAAAATTGTCTAATACTGCGTTTGCAGAACGGATTTGGAAATACAACCTCAACGTTGCTGAGATATTTGAAAAACTCTGGACCGCAGGTGTCTATGGTGGGGAACGAACGCGCTATCGTCCTTTCCGGGGAGTAACGCGTTCACCACCACACTATGCGGGTCCTATGTTTCGCCTGTCTCTCAGCTATTTCTATCGATCTTTTGCCACAGCAATCACCCGTCAGCGGGAAAGGACAATAGTGCGTTCCCATGACCGACTTTCTGTTAACCTCGGCATTAATTGATAATTCAATGTTTTTCATCAATAAGCAGACACGAGGT